GGATTGGGTAACTGTTCCTTTTTCCCCTTTGGGCAATCAGTAATTTTGTATCAGGTCGTGGACCATCATAGAGTTGAAGTGGCATATTCAAGAAGTAGTCTCTCCTACTTCCCAGATTGAATCCGAAGGTGTAGAATACTTTACTCGGTGGTTCTAATAGAGTTTGAGATGCAAGAAGTCTGTTCAGCGATATGGTTGTCTCCTGTGTCTCCGTGTATGATTCTCGTGGGAATTTGTTAAAGACCGCACTTCTGGGCCTGGTCCTCTGGAAATTCCCTCCCTGTGCTGTGCCGTGGGGACACTACGTTAGTAACAAAGAAACAAAATTTGCGGACGATGAGGCCCAGAAATCAGGATTTTAAAAAGATTCCCAGGTGATTCTAATGTGCAGCCAAGGTTGAGAACCACTGATCTAGAAAGAATGTTGGCAGTTTCCACCATTCACTAAATTTCCTGCTTACAACTCTGACACCTTTGACCCATTCCTCTCAATTCTGTTTCTTTCCTTTCATTATTCCTCTGCTCCCACTTTCTGGGGACAAGACCTAAAGCATAGCTGAGAAGGAGCAAAGTAGAGAGAAAATGTTTTAAGTACAATGTCAAGTAGCAAGAAAAGAATTTTAGTTTGGAAACTGACTGCAAACATGTCCTTCTATGGTACGTTGTTGAAATGTGTCCTTAAGAAGAATATTAATGACATCCTTTATTTCAGAGACAATTTTACCAAAAAAGCAAAGTTACAAACTAGGTGAATTCTAATCTTTCTTTACTATGACCATGTGACTCTATCAAATTCGTCTAATATTATCTTTAGCTGCTTTCAAAGCAGAAGATGAAATGTCATGTCCATGGCATAATGGTATCTCTTTTATTCCACTGGGGTCTGAAGTCTTGCTTTTCTAGTTTTTTATATGGAAACTTAGTCCTACATAGTATATGTGGTTTTTGCTTCACAGATGCCTCTGCTTTTTATACAAAGCCCTGGACATGGATGGAAATGAGGTGACCTATAATGTAAAGAGAAGCAGGTAGTTGCTTCTTAAAAAGAGAAGCCAAAAAGGAGGATTTACATGTAATCAAGAATATGATGTTTCTTGTCCATGAAGATGATTAGCACTGGTATAGTTTACCAAAATAGAAATACTATCAACCCTTCTCTGGGAATTTTTATTGTTTTCATTAGAGAAAATTTTCAATATGAAAAACTTAATTTCTGGATTTAATTTTCTAAATAAATAATACATTTATTAGAGAAAATTTTCAATAGGAAAAACTTAATTTCTGGATTTAATTTTCTAAATAAATAATACATTCATTAGAGAACATTTTCAATAAGAAAAACAATTTTTGGATTTAAATTTTCTAAATAAATAATACAACATTAGAGAAAATTTTCAATAAGAAAAACTTAATTTGGAGATTTAACTTTCTAAATAAATAATACATTCACATGACTAGAATTTTTTAAACTATAAAAGGACATTCAGTGAAATTTCTCCCTCTTACCCCATATCCTAGACAATCACTTCCCACTGCATCACATACTTCCCTTCCTCTGCCACTGGCAACCAAGGTTATTTGTTTTTTGTGTATTAATAGAAGATAAATAAATGGATAGATAGATAGATAGATAGATAGATAGATAGATTTATACTTTTATACACATGTATGTTATTTTTGTCATTCTTTACACAGTTTGCTAGCCTACTATCCACACATGTACTTAAGGATATATTTTAGAGATCTTTCCACATTAAGACCTTTCTCATTCCTTTTTACAACTTCCTGGTATTCCACATAATCCATCTATCATCATGTCTTTAAATAGCCCTCTATGTAGATTGTGTCTAATCTTTTGACATTGTGAACGTAGCAATAAACATTGTACGTATGTCATTTCTCTCCCATGTAAGTACATCTACAGGTCAAATTCCTAGAAATAGAACTACTGGCTCAAAGGGCTTGTACATATTAACTTCAATATCTGTTTACAGACATCCAAGTTGCTTCTGATGCACCTTAAAGCTTCATCATGAACTTACTATGCAAATAATTGTTTACACAATTAGGTTAAAGTATCCAAAGAGCCTATTGATGAAACTAAATAATTACTGAAGAAAATGAACATAGCTCTTTCAATTGGAAAGCCAAGCTGCTCACCAGTTGCTTATTTATTTGGTTTGCTGATATTTTATATTATGGTATAACCATATTTTACTAAATGATGTCTAAAGTAACTCTCTAGTGGGGCATTCTCCTCTGTCTCTTCTAGTGACCAGGGTCATGTAACTATATGCTATAGCAAAACTTCTGAAAATTTGATGAAAAGGCAAAAAGTAAGACATGTGTGATTTTAATAACTTCTTCAGAATAGTTGTTAAAGCAGGTGGAACTTTTTTTGTTCTACCCTGGGAAATGGAGCTGCTTTTGAATAATATTAATTCAGCAGCACCAGTTAAGGTAGTAGAAGCAGTCAGACATATTTTAAAACTTCACAGAAGTCTTTTTATGAATTTGTCAAATCTCTGAACCAAGCATTTCTTTGACTTTTTTCAGGAACCTCAGAAGAGCCTAAAACATTGAAAAGAACCCCAGTTGGAGTTTTGACCTGGCTGAATCTAGTGAATAAAATGAATTTCTACCAGTAGAAACTTTGATGAAAAGTAAAACTCCATGCCTTATGTTCCCGGATAAAGCCTCTATCACCCTGCCCATGACAATGTCCAGGGTTTTTCACATTTGGTATCTAACCTCAACTCATCCTTCCAAGGTAATTTTTTATTCCTACAGAGTAACAGAAACTTGCAAGATGTTCTGTCCACTTTGGTCCTGATGGTTTTCCTGCCAAAGACAAGGTACATCTCCCACAGTGAAGGCACATCTAAAACTTCCTCATCCTACCAGACTCTCTGAGCTGCTAAGTGAATTTTCCCCATCAATTTTTTATACTCTTATCTCAAAAACTACTTGTTCAACAATATTTTACTTGATTATTACACTGGAAAGCCAAAATAGCTAAAAAACAAAAACAAAAAAACAAAAAACAACAACAACAAAAACAAGGAGTAGTAAGTAGGGTTAGGTGTCCATGCAATATATGATCCTCTGTGACCTCCTCTGTTTCCCCAATTGTGAATTTATCCAGTTTTGCTGTAATTGCTTACTTGTCTGCCTTCTTGTGTACAAAGATTGTATTTTATGCAAGGAGCCACCTTAGAGCATGACACGTGATGGGTCTTCAGTAAAGACGTGTTGAATGACTGAAAGAATATCACTTAACTTTTTTGTGCTTCATTTTCCTTAATAAAAGGGTGTGGTTAGAAGCAGTACAGCAGTTAACTGGGGTGCCACCTAGGAATTTGGGGATAAGACTGTCCTCTGAGGATTAATCTATCAAATCAACCCACAATCAGAGCGGAAATACACAAAGTCATCTTCAGAAATGATCCCCAGGCCAAAGCCTGTTAAGTGTTAAAAGTGCTGTGTTATGTGAGCCATCAGGCTTCCCCTAAACTGGGGAAGAAGGCCCCCCAACATATGTTGGCAGAGGAATCCACCCTAAGACCTGCCAAACAAGTGTTGACTGTGATTTGACTTCCCAGGTGGTTCTAAGGAGAGAGAACACACGTGTTTGCTCAGAAATGTTTTGGGTCGTGTTTCTCTCACTGGGATTACTCTTTGTGAATTAATACAGTGGCCCTCTGGTTTTCTAAACCTATTGATGTGAGCGGAATTATACAAGGGATCCTTCTTTGTGTACTACCATTGCAGGAGGCTGAGCCCACAGGCCTGAAAGGAGGCACGGGATCAGGTAAATTCACCTACACGAGGCACCTGTGTGCTTCGTGGCCCGTGGGCTGCAGCAGCCAAGCAGCCTATCCTGGCAGGGCCCTGCCTCACCCCACAGGTTTCGTATAAAAGGTAGGCAGTGGTTACTGATCCCTGAACTACTGAGATCATTTCCTTGTGACTTCAGCAAAGCGAGTGCGGCTGCCTTGAGGCTTAAAGGAGGAAAAGAAAGGTAAGGGTGAAACGAGGCAATAACGGTGTATTTTGAAGTACTTCGAAAAATAGAAAGCTCTAAGAAGTGCAAAACAGAATATTTTTACCAGCATTTTTTTTAAGCCCACTCAAGAGGTCTGCTCAGAATTTAGCAGGACCCGCATATGTGCTCAACAGGAGAGGGGTAAGGATAGCTAACCTTGGAAATGATGACCTCAGTGTGTCCCTCTCCTTCAAACTTTGGGAGAGTCAACCATGAGCCTTCGTGGAGACAGTGGCAATAAATGTCTAAACTGTTACCCTCGAAGTACTAGGTTTCCTCATAAGAGCTTCTCAAAAAAATGCACGGAACTCAAGTTAATCTTAACAGATGACTGTGATCAAGACAGATGTGGAAATTTTCAGATGGTTTAGCAATTCTTATTCAGTTCTCTAATCTGGCTTCAAAAAGCCTTCCAGTCTTAATGATTTATCCTTATTGCTATGCAGAACTTTAATACTGCTATGCATCATTCTAACCTTTTCATCACATAAAAACATTGGCACTTTTGTGCAAGCCCAAGATAACTAGTAGCCTTTCAGGGCTAATAGGACCAATTATGGTAACTTAAAATAGATTTCCATTATTCCAGGCACCAACTCCCTACTATGTACAAAGCTTCATCTGTTATTATTAACAGTG